GCAAGTGTTTAATTTACCAAAAAAAAAAAATTACTTGATTATTGTATCGGTCTAGAACAAGTGCGTTTAAAAAACATTTTTAGAAATAATCTTTTTTTTTAAACCACAAGGGTGGCAAACAAGCATAGCATAGCATAAGCATACACTTTATGAAAAACTCCATACTGTAGTCTCTAGGTAAACGTCGGCATGGAGCTCATCCACGGCCTAAGCGTTCGTGGGAGAAATTTTCTCCCACGAACGCTTAGGCCGTGGATTAGGCCTTTGAAACCGCTCTGTAAGCGACCATTTAGGTTCAAGCGTTTGAGGATGTATTTCCTGTCGATGGTGAGCGGTGAGATGATAATTTTGTATGATTATGTAGGCTAATCATCAAACTGGGTACCTGAGTTAACAAAATACGCCAATCAAGTTAAACATAATCAGACGCTAGCAAGCTGTTAAGAAAAAGACTGCAAATGTATGAACAGAAAGACGTAGGTATCAGTCTTTCTATTCGTAAATAAAAGCTAACAAGTTAAATAAAGATTTATAAAAAACAAACCTTGCAAAGATGCCTGGAATACTTTTTTTTTTAACGGATGATAATGGAATGGTATCTCCGCCTGCGCTAACGATATACACTAACGGGGCACCAGTGAGTAAAAATAGGTAAGAACGAAAAGGCAAGTCAGTTAGCCCGTCGTGATGAATAAACCTGGAATTCAGCACGACAATTTCCAGGCGGACCACGTGAAGGTGGACCTGACAGGGTATGACAGGTATGACAGCAATGAGACTAGTACTCCGTATTATTAGCAATACACCCCTCCCCCCACTGCCCCCGCCTGGAATACTTGGTAATGACACACGATAGTAGTGTTACCTGATAGTTTTACCATATAGCTGTATTAAACTTCATGCCGTGTGGTCCCGGCATAGAATAGGTCACCCCTTCCTTTCCAATAGGTGTCGTAAGAGGCGACTAAGGTAGGGCAAGTTATGGGCAATAGCGTCCCTCTTAAAACATCTCCGAAGCCTAACTGCGGTTGCTAATCCGCCTGGTACGCCCAAGCGTGGTAACTACTGGTAAAACCAGGAGGAGGCTTACGTTCAGCAGTGGATAGTTAAAGGCTGATATGAAGGTGATGATGATGAAACTACATAAGGAGCTAAATATTGCAAATACGTGTTTATAAAATAAAACATTTCTGTGAAACGTTCACAATGTATGTTTGATAATCATAAATATCATTCGGTCATTCATTTATTCTCTTTATTGCACAATAAAACTTTGTACAAGTGGCGAGCTTAATAAACATTCTCTACCAGCTAACCATTATGTAAAAACAGAAAGCGTATGAAGGGCGGATGTGGTGAAAAATATGTGACATAATTATAGCAACGTACTGAAATAATTATACATAATAATACATAAGAAATACACATATAACATATAAATACTATTTATAATATATATAGTTATACTAATATATATGAAAATATCGCATCTAATTGTAATATAGTCTGTAAATTTTTGATAAATAACATATGACCTCATTATTAATATAAATACGCTTACATATAGAATAAATTTGTTTAAACAAAGGTGTAATAAAATATGGGACTAGTTACACATTGAACAGTTTATTGATATGCTCTTTGCTTCAACGAATTTTATTATTGAAAAACAAATGTGTGTATTAATTTAAATAAATAAGAATTGTTGTTGCACTTGTACAATTACGTACAGGTACAACTTCTAGAACGATGACGTGACAGTCGCTTGCGCAGAAACTTGAATTATATTTATTTATTTATCCAGAGTACAAAATACATTGTATAAGATAGGTAATACATAATAACATTATAAAAAATATAAATTAAAATTACAGTTTATTACAGTCGGATACGATTCAAATTGTTTTTCTTTTTTAATTATATTCAGTCTACATCGTAATTTATATAATCAATTATTAATTCAGTCGTTAACTGTCCACTGCTGGACATAAGCCTTTCCAATAAGTGGTGTGGGGGGAAAGGGATTGTTAGCAATGAAGTTTAACAGCCCCATTGCTAGCAATATGCCTTATTAGGTCGACCTCCACGTGGTTCCCCCAGGAAACCATCGTGAACAATTCTTGTTGAATTCGTCACGACGGGCTAACTGACCTAGTTCATCCTCACCTATCATCCTTCAGTGGTGCCCCGCCGGTGTATACCAATAGCGCGGGGGGATTACCATTCCATTATCATCCATTACAAAAAAAAAAAATAAGTGGAGTTTTGCCAATTTGAAGCAGAGACGTTTTAAGAGGAACGCTGCTGCCCATCCCTCGCTCTCCTTTAGTCGCCTCTTATGACATCCACGGGAAAGGTAAGGGTGGCCCATTGTTTGCCAGGGCACACATGGCAATATATAATCGATACATACGGACTTAAGTATTATTCCTCTGTACCCAGTAAATTCACCGCCATATCCCTTCAAACCGAAACACAGCCATGCAAACACAACTATTTCTCGATAGAAACACGAATGGGACAGAGGTGCCCAAGCAAACGATTTTTGTACAAAGTCTTCCTCAGTGTTTTTTAATTAATATAACAATTTTAAACTTATTAAAATGTGCAACATATCTTTCGGTATCTTATTATAACATTTAATGCTCGTTCCTTTTACCTTTTTAATACTGAACCCTAAAAATATGTTAGTCTCAAATCTGCATTTAAATTATTACACCATAACCATCGTTCCGTAATTGCGAACTAAACTAACAAACGTATGCACGACTTAGTGCGAAAAATTAAAACTTTTAGGGTTCCGTAAGCCATAATTTGTATACGGAGCGGTTACCGGCACGTGTCGGCGCGTGCTTGCTAAAAAACTTCTTCAACCCTTGCTCTAGCTCTTTTTTTTCAGTGAAATACTAACATTTAAATCTGTTTTAATTTTTTTTTTTTAATAGAATACAAGATAAAATTGTTTTACTTGATTCTTACCCTTAGATTATATAGATAGAGAATCAAGTCTTAAAAACGAGTCAACTTTTTGTCAGCTAATTGTCAAATTAGCTGACAAAAAGCATTTGTATCGTGACTCTCTATCTATGTTATCTAAGGTTCTACCATTAAATAAAAATATATTTTATTTTTGGTTTATAACCATATATTCTCGTAAAAAATTAGGTACAAATTTACTTAACATGAGAACAATAATACCATGATATAATAATAATAACATGAGAACAATAAACCAAATCAAGTTACTAAAAAAACGTACACTCATTTCGTCATAGTCGTAGAATAGATAGATAGATAGATAATTTATTTGCATAACTTACAGCACACAAACAAAAGACACAAAAGCAATGTGAAAAAAGATAAAAAAGATACATGTACAAAAGATTAAAAAAAAAAAAATAAAACCAAAAACAAAATCAGAACGCATAATAAATTTTTTTTTTCTTCATGCGTGTGCCACAGTAATGCAAAATGGCCACAACTCAGCTTTTTGCTTTGCCCTAAAAAGAGCAAAGCAAAAAGCTGAGTTGTAATACTGTAGTAATACTGACAGATCTGACAAAGATTACATATATAGATCCGTCAGTATTCTACGACTATGACGATTTATCCTTCTAATTATACTAGAATAAAAATAGAATAAGTGTTCATTTTAAAAGTATCATTCGTTCCTTTACAATAAGAGTACATTTGCGGGAAACAGCTAACAAAGCAATAAAGCTCTACAACACATAAAATATTATTATAGAAAATTTATATAAGGGCCTGTCCACACGAATATCCTTTCGCCTAATTGATTCGTGTGCTATAACGTAGCACTGCGTGTGACGGGCGCGCTTCTGTGTGGATTTGTTAGCTTTTATTGCCGGATTTGACATGTTTTGATATGTTTATCCATTAGGGAGATATTTTAAAACGTGGGAAGAATCAAATTTTATTGGAATGAAGCTGTTGATAGGTAGTTAAAACTAATGATTTATTTAAACAAACAACATATCGTCATAGTTGTAGAATACTGACGGAATATATGTAATCTTTATCAGATCCGTCAGTATTACTACGACTATGACGATATGTCATCGTTACCTTTGATTTCTGTCGTTGTTTATTGGTATTATAGTATATAATCGTGTATGTATATATGTATGTATATTTATATGTTTTTATGATATATATTTGTATATGTAAGAAATATTTTTATTTGTAAGTATATTTTGTTAATAGTATTAGTAGTAGTAGTATTTAGTAGAAAAGAAGTTACCATAAATATTAAAATTTTGCACGCCATTGTTTTGGCAAAACACGCCTGTTCCTAACATATTATTGCTAACATCTGTATACCGTGTTTTTCAGCAAATAAATTATATTATAATATTATTATTATTATATTTATATCATATATATATGATCATAATGTGCAGTAGTTCTCCATTGTATGTACCTATTATATAATTTGTAAGTCAATATGGATACGTCTGTAATTGTTTATCTACAACAATTTTTAATTTTTCACTGCATATTTACATTTTTGTTCTACCAAAGATTGACTGGAAAGAATGCTATATAGCATTAAGTACGCCTTTTGCATCAACAATTTATTGTAATGTGGTCAATAAAGAATTAATAAATATAGCGATATCGTATATAGATATTTCACCACATTGTCAAACAATTGAGACTTCTGCTAGCTATTTTGTAAAAATTTACAGTTATAACACTCTTCACTTTTATTTCACCCAAATGTCCACTTTATATTTCAAATCTACAAACTTTGAGAATGACAAATGATGTGATACAAGTTTTGGAAAATAAAAGGAGTATATTACCATATTACTCCATTTACTATGCCCCCACTTCAACGAAATGAAGCTATCATTGATTTTACTAGTTTACAGAACACCAAAAGTAAATCACACGTGGATCCGCTAGTGATATTAGATTTTATTTTTACAGAACAGCATTCTATTTATCAAGAATGCAAAATTTTCTTAAGCACTCACCATCTTTATTCATGCCCATAGCGAGGCATTTCTTGAGACGACACGCTTGGCATTGGTTTCTGTGTGCCTTGTCCACCACACATCGCCCTGTCCCGGCTTGGCATCTAAACAACAAAATATCTACGTTATATTTTATATATATACATATATGCCTCAGATATACATACACATTCATCAATTTTTCCATACACGCTTTCCGGTTACGGGTAGTTTTAATTTGGCCTTTGATCAGCACGACACATATTTATAAAAAATAACATATAGTAGAATCTTTATATACATATACATACATATATGCTTCAACTGCGTTTAAAATTTCATTCAAACCCATTTAGGTGTTTGAACTCGAGAAATAAACATCTAAACCTAAATACAAACTATTTCCCAAACTTTCATATTTATAATACTAGTATTAAGGATTCTTCATAAGTTATAACATGTGTTACCCTAAACTTTTCGAGTATTCAAAACCCTAAGCACCCTCAGCTCGTTTTATGGTACTTAGCGCCAGATCTGATTATGATGGATGTAATTATGTTGCGTTTTTTTAACGTTCCATAAACAAGTAGTCGCAAAGGAACCATTACTTCGTCGCAAATAAAAAAAAAAAGCGACTAAGGCAAGTCAAAAATCACTTCAGAATTAATGAGAATTAATTGTTACGATCTATTATTAAAGACGAATTAAAAACCATATTATTTTTAAAGTAGTGAAAAGTTAAATACGATAAATAAGTAGCCTAGTAACTTCTTATTGTTAAACAAAAAACCAAGTGTCATAATTTTATAGAAAAGTTATACCGAATATAAATAAAAAAAATTATCACATGCCTGGACACGCGTAAAATCGAATAATTCACATAAATAAGAAACTACATGAAAATAAAATTATTTTTTTAAAATGTATATACATAGAGATTGTTGGAAACGAGTTATTGGCGACCGGCCGATGCAAACTCTTTAGACATTATTATACTTTTTTATATACATTTACTTTTAGAATGTTCTTATTATTTGTAGTTTCAATTTTATATTTTTTGATATATCATATTGTTCTGTTCCTTGCTTGCTGTTTAATACATTTATTTTATTATTTATTTATATTCCCAAAGAGGGTTGACGCCAGGCAGGTGGCCGGTCGTAAAACTAAAAACCAAATCTTTTTGTAATATGGATAAAATCATATTACGCCGACCTCAAATGATTGAGACAAGGGTAGGAAGACGATGATGATTTCACTACTAAATTCCGTGTCTACATCATTTCATCACCTCATCACAGTCCACTGCTTCGTAATACGAGTGTTAAATTTGATTCAACATAACTCTATTTTCAGTGCTATTTTTCAGTTTCTGATTACATATCTCGAATTTTCTTATATACCTTGTCATATTTTGTTAAAAGGTATATAATCACAGTAAAAAGGGCGACCGAAATGCAATTTGTAACACTTCACACAATCTTCTCATACACCACCAACTAATCGCCCTCCTATTGACCGCGACAAATGTCAACTCTCTGTAAGCCTATTATAGCAAGGATTACCGGTAATGAAATATCTTTAATCTTTATTAGTTTCTACGCCAGCATTTCTGTTAGCAATTTGATTGAGTAGTTTTTCCTCTTCTTTCTGATTGCTTTTCTTTAGTACTTTGGCGATTAAGTTATTCTTGCGTTCTCGACTCCGTTTTTTTTTCCGTATTATCTTTGCGTTTCGTATTTATTTTGGACATATTTGATACTATATATAGGCATACAGTCATGAAGTAAAATCTGTATACTTGTCTGTACATAGACAATTTAATCTATCGTTTACAACACATCGTTTCAACAGTATCTGGAGGAATAGTATCAGCGTTTGAGGATGAGTATTCAGCGATGAAACCTTTCTAGCCTAATGTTCATATAATAATAATCAATGGAGATATAGCAGTTGTTATTTCTAAAAATAAACAACCTTTAAATAAGTACTATGTTCAACATAATTTTTTCCCCCATATTTCGCTCGTTTTTTTATATATATATAAGAAGGAATATTATACATAAGGAAGGTACATTTTTTCTTATTTTCTATACGTAGACGATATAGATTACTGCAGATAATTTTAATAACAGTTTAACATTTGGCCCGTTCCGCACCCCTAATTCAAGTACGATTTCAATTAATTCGCCATCCGCGTTTAATGTTATTAATTTATTGTGTTGTGTATACTCACCCTTATGATAGATGGTCAAGTGTGACATGTGTATGCTCTTTATCGTTGGCAAATTGATGTTTGGAATATTCTGATTTTTTTTATTATTATTATTATCGAATTTATGACAAAAATTAAAACAAGTATCATTAGTTAAATACTATATTGGTATTATAATTTGGTATTGATTGGTATTAATACTGGTATTGGTTTTTTTATTGTCGTTAATGACTAAGTATTTAATTAACCAACTCAAAATGATAAAGGTTCTCTTTTATTTTGAATTTTTTTAGACTATAGTAAATTTGGTGCTTAAACATTACATTTTATAAGAACAAAACTTATTTTGCATATAAAATTGTTACTAGACGACGTATGTACATGAAAGATACTTAAGAAAAATTAATATGAGAGGTCTTAACGAACCCATCATCATCATCATCATATCTGTCACGCCTGTCTCTCATTAGGGTAGGCAGAAACAATGGAACGCCAAATGCTTCGATTCAAACAAACCTCTTTCGCTTCTTCCACATTCATCAATCTTGTCATACACGCTCGTCAGTTACGGGTACTTTTACCCAATAGATACTAAATAATATTTTATATAGAAGACGAGTCTACCGCCACTATTTATTTTTATTTGGTTAAATATCAATATTTGTCTATCAAAAATAAAAATAATAAATTATTGTTGAAATTGTAACGTAAAATTATGTTTATTTCTTTGTTACAATCGAATGGTTTTGTTACAGTCGTATTTATTATTGGATCATTCTGTTTATTTTTTTTATTGAACAATACATTAATGACTTACAAGTTATGTTTTAAGTTTGTTATTGTTAACTTCTTCTATGTACCCCAAATAAATAAACAGAATCTTTTCCAATCGACTTAAAAAAGAAAAAGGTTCTAAGTTGGGTTGTATTTTTTTTTTTATGAATGAATGAATGAGTATACTTTATTTGCATTATACAATATTGTTTTTTTTTATACAACTTACAATGGCAAACAAGCTGACGGCCCACCTGATGGAAAGTGGTAACCATCGCCTATAGACAAGAGCAGTACCATGGGCAAAACAGAGTATACTTTTTCGCCCATGATACTCTCCATGCGTTGCCATTTCTGAGGACTCAGGTGTTATTTCTCTGTACCTTGTAAATTCGCGCCATATCCCACCCTTAAAACCGAAACACAGCCATGCAAACACAACTGCTTTACGATTGAAACACGAATGGGACAAAGGAACCCAAGCAAACAACTTTCGTACAAAGTTTCCCTCTGGAAATAAACAAGACAATTAACAAATATAAGAATACAATTGTATAAGTAACTTATTGCTGAGAGCAATCTTTTCAAGACAACTTTAGTATGATTGACTTTTATGTCTGTTTACTTCATAATTCCGTCAGTTCCAAAATCGATTGGTATATTTATTTTCAATCTGAAAGGATGTACTTACATATTGGTCCCGTAGAAATTTTATCAACGTGTCGTTCACTTTGTTTTAGTAGTTTAGTTAGTGTAGTTAGTCTTTTTCTGTTGGACATAATTTTTAATTATTGCCTATATTGATTAAGAACGCTCAGAAAAACTATTTAAAAAATATCTGTGTCCGCCATTGTAATCTCGCCCTAACAAGTCACAGATGTAGCAAGAATTAGAAATACGCCTCACTAAGGATTAAGTGGTATACAAGTGGCTACGCGCGGCGCTCCGTGCATTCATTGTCATTTTTACTAGCAGATGAGCCCTGCCTTGTCCCCCATCAAAAACTGCAGCATGGCAAGCAGTTTTTGATAGGGATTAAAAAGATTTGGACTCGATTTTGGGGTGCTGGTTGATTTGATATTAATGCTTTGATTTTGTTATTGTTCATGTACCTAACATGTAATTTTTGAAATTGTAATTTCAAAAATTACAATTATATGAACTTTAAGATATGACAGTTAAATAAAGATGAAAAATAAAGATTACGAATCGAGGGAAAGAAAATGTTAATTACATTTTCAAAAGGTTGTCTGTAAGAGATTGCCCTAGCGATAAGACCGCCTTTTTACGTTTATGTATATATTTCAATCTGTATTTATGTTACTGTAATTAACTTGAATTATTCAATTGTCATTGTATATATTTTTATGTTTTGGAACAATAAAGAGCTAGATAAGTAAAAAATTTAATTTTTTTTCTTGAAAGTGGTAATAGAAGACTCTCTTGTATGTGGAAAAGAAGTTCTACAATTGAGCAACTCGATACGAGAAAGAGTTGCTCATAAAATGTGTCTAATACAAAGGAAGTTCAACCATCTTGGATTGAACCAGACAGGAGCATTTAGAATGAATTTAGTGATGGCAATTTAGGGAGGAGAGGTACGATGAAGAATTAAATTAATTAGTTAAGTAATTAAGTATAATATGTAAGTATTAGATAATTAATAAGTAATTAATTATCTAAGTATATTATAAAGGAAGGACAAAATATGCAAATGACGTCAAAAGTTGGTCAGAGAGCCATTTCTCCTTTTTAATAAAACATACTCATTTACATATCTCTCCAAATGGGACAGTCATCGGCATTAATCATATGATCCGAGAATAACAAAATTGTTACGAATTTTGCCAAACAACTTCCAACGTTTGCATAGCTGCGTCATATTATCCGTCTCTGTTTGTATGGTTCACTGAGCTACTGAACCGTGTCGCACCTGCGACCCCAATGTTTGATTATTTCAACAGACTTTCTCTCTTAATAAAATAATCAACAACATATTAGCTGATAACTGTCCACTGCTCAGTTTTATAGAGTGTGTTTTAAGAGGAACGCTGCTGTACATAACCAAAAGCCAAACTGCAGTTGCCAACCCGCCTGCCAAGCGTGGCAACTACTAGCAAAACTGCTCAAGGGGCAGGCTTATGTTCAGCAGTAGACAGTTAAAGGCTGATATGATGATGATTATGATATATCTATAGTTAGTAATAGTATTTATATATTTTTAAAACGCTCAATAGATCGATCAGAATAGGGAAACGAAACAAATGTACGAATAGATAGTTAAAGTTCAAGATAAACAAATAATATAAACCTAATAATATAAACTAAACCGTCTTTCAAAAAAAGCGTTCACGCTCACTTTTTATTTTTATCCGAGCAATAAGTGCTTTATATTATTCCCAAATTCGTGTATAATATAGTATATATCATATATGTGTAAGTATATTTGTTATTCATATATATTTATTCGTTTATATATGTAATTTTAGTATGTATGTATATCAATAATTAGTAGTTCCGCATTCGAGTATTCTGACACTTCCCTATGGTTGACTGGGAGAGAATGCTTTTAGCATTAAGTCCGTCATGTACACATATTTGTACTAATGAATAAATAAATAAATATTGTGTTTTGAGTACACATTTTTTGTCCACTTATGGGGGAGGCTATGTTCAGCAATGGATGGTAAACGGCTGATACAACCATGTGTCTTTCGGTCAAAAGTTCTCAAATCTACAGTGCAGTCTTCAAAGTCCAATTTTATTAAAGAAATTATGCCCAACTAAATCCGTTTACGCGTTTGGAAGTTATAGTGGAATAAGGAATCACATGAACTCCGGTAACATAGTTATCAGATAGTTTAATAAATAATATGTATTTGACGTTATTGTGTATTATAGATTTTTGTATTTTATGCACATAAAAATAACATTTACTTTTTCACCACCTACTCACTTCTATTTGTTCTCCTTTAACCAAAGGTTGTCTGTAAGAGATAGTCCTAACTATAAGACCGCCGAGGGGAAAGGGATTGTTAGTAATGGAGACTAAGAATGCCATTGCTAGCAATATACCCAACCAGGTCGACCTCCTCTCGGTTCCCCTTGGAAACTATCATGGTTAATTCCTGATGAATTCATCATGATGGGCTAACTGGCCTGTTTTCATTCTCATCTATCACCCTTCACTGGTGCTCCGCTAGCGTATCCCGTTAGCGCAGGCGGGGTTACCATTCCATTTTCACCCATAAAAAAAAAAAAAAACTATAAGACCGCCTTTTGGACCTTTATGTATGTATTTTAATTTGTACTTTATGCTACTGTATATCAATTGAATTGTTTATATTTTATTATTTATTTTTATGTTTCCAGTGCAATTAAATGTTAAATAAATAAATATGGAATATTACAATCTATTTTTTGCAATCGTAAAAAACTACAGACTAATTGTAAATTTCTTTTTTTTTTTTTTAAAGTCTCTCAAACATGAAGCGTACGAACAAAGAAATAGTGAAACAAACATAGGTTTGCCGAAAATTGGATTATACAAATACTAGAGTTTGAACAATTGTAAGACATTAGCGATGTGTAACGCCGTGTAGACAATAAGTGAAACCTCAATTTCATCACACATGTTTTTGAACATTTTGTTCCCCTTCAATGGAATTATGTCAGTGTTTTTGGAGTAGTACCTACCTACCTGAAGCTATTGCTCAATATGATTGTTCGGTTTCGTAGTGTTATAATTATTAATTCTGTTTATTTTCAATTGACTTTCTAAAAGAAGGAGGTTAACAATTCGTTTGTTATTTTTATGTTTGTTACTTCATAACTCTGTTATTTATAAATCGATTTGGAGAATTCCTTTTTTCTCTCAAAAGTTTTACTTATAAATTGGTCGTATAGAAATTTTATCTAATATACGATACAATCTTAAAAATTACCCAATTTTTTTATTCATTATTCTTTATTGTACACAAAACATAATGTTAATCACAATTCATTATAAACATAATGTACAAAGGCGAGCTTATCTCTAATAAGAGAATTCTTCCAGCAAAACCTATTTCTTCACAGTTTCATTTTTCTCCAAAAATTTCTAAAGTAAAGTTTCGCTAACTCAAAATTTTTACCCAATATTGCGAAAGAAACATCCAATCAGGCAATTCTAGAGATAGATAAGATATTCATCAGATTAAAGTAGATGAAGCCAGTCGTTTATAACCACTTTTCATCAGGTGACCCGTAATCGTAAGTTTGTTCGCCATTATGAATATTATAAAAAATTAAGTTAACCTTTTGATACTTGGTTATCTCTATCCACCTCTTAGGGGACTTAGCGTAAACATAGATACATATAAACAAACAATAACATACCTATATATAAGTTTCCGCCTTACAGATCGCTTGAAGAATCCACTACATCCGTTGCAGGCGAGGATGCCGTAGTGTTTCCCCGAACTGGTGTCCCCGCAGACCACACATACGAGGCCTGGAAACGGCATGGAAATGTGAGAAAGAGACAGATACTCTTTAAGGTTCTCCAAAAAAAAGAGAATAATCTTTGAACCTTATACGGATTGGTAAAATTTCGAAACTGAAGAAACATAAAAAAGTCAATACATTTATTTATAAACAGTTATTTTGATTTAAAATACCAATTTATTGAAGGGATTTTGATTAAATTTATATTTTTATTTTTTGTAACACAAAAGCATGCGACTCGTCTGATGGTAAGTGACTACCGCTGCCCATAATAAATCGCAATGAAACTTAATTTGAAAGTATATCTTACAAATAAAAAAGATTTTTCCAAATCGGTTTATAAATGACGGATTTGTAAAGCAACAAATAAAAAAAAACCACCTAATTTAAAATCAGATAATGAAAGTAATCGGTTTGAGCACCTCTGTCTTATTCATGTTTCTCCCGTAAAACAGTTGTTTGCATGACTGTGTTTCGGTTTGAAGAGTGAGATATGGCAATGAAATTACAGGATATAGAGACATAATACTTTACCTTAGCTGGACCGTTCGTTTGCCATTCTAAGCTACATAAAAAAAAAATTACAGGTTAAATGTTATGAGGTCGGATGCCAACCTGTCTTACCCAAATGGTTGGTCTTCTTAGAAGGCGGATCTGGTAGCCAGGGACGGAGTGCTGGCGGCGCCAATGCAGCAGCGACCAATGCTGCCGATGTAGGTGGTGACCAGCGGAGTGGAGACGTATTATCATCTGTAAGGAGCAACCAGCTTTAAAGAAAACCATAGAAATAAGATTTGGAAATTTCGGAAGTCGAACAGATAAGTTCGTTTATACAAGTCAACGGTGTCTCCTACTGTCTTTGATAAAACCTTCAACATTACTAATTGTTATTACAGCAAATTATAATCAAGAACTATAATATAATAGGCCACTCCTTCCTTTTCTTTTTTTTTTGGGTGTCATAAGAGGAGTCTAAGGGAACTTAATCTTTTAGTCTTATATTATTATTATTAATATTACCAACGCTCAACTGCGGTTGCCAACCTGCCTGCCAAGAGGACAACTACTCCCAGTAGGGGAAGGCCTATGTTCAGCAGTGGCTAATTAACGACTGATATGGTATGATATAATATATATATATTATTTTTTTTGTTAAACCACATAGAATCAAATTACATCTCTCTGTCATTATTAAATAGATACTTGTAGGTTATAATAATATTTTACTTACACGAATTGAATTAAGCAATTAAGCCCATAAACATTTAATCTCAATAGAGCTAATAAAATAACCATTGCAAATCACACCCTTTCATTTTAATAGCGTTTCCATTCACTATGGTTATGTGGGGGCCAAATATCGACCCCTGTGGAACTGCGACAACATTGAGCGTTACCCCATTTTAGACTTTATTTAACTCGAATAAAGTTCTATTCAGAATTTATAATTGTATAATATTACTAATGTGTCAAACCAATTAAGTGATTGGATACCCGGCGATTGAAATGAGTGGAGAGAGGATTCGATTTATAATATATTTTTTATACTACTTTAAATCTTAATAATGAGACGATTATATTCAATATTAAAAATTAATATATTAATGATTTATACGCAATGAGTCAAAAAGTTAACATTACTTATATATCATAAATCATTGGATTGTCTGTGCAATGATAGAGAAAAACGTATATATATGTATGTATAATATACGTACTGCATCTAATCTTTAGAAACTTGAGGTGAGGTAAGAGGTAAGCAAAGACACAGTGCAAAGGGAAATTATCGAATTAACATCGATTCAAAAAGAAATAGCTCGAAATAAAACATGGCCCATCTGATGGGGAATAGTAAAAATTGTCTATAGATATAAATGCGAAATGAGTATATCCGCGAAACATCCAAAATGACAGACATAGTTTGAAGAATAAGCAAGCTGAAGTGGCAATAGGCTTGTCACATAGCTCGAAGAACTGAGAACCGATAGGGAAGAAAGGTTCTTGAGTAGAGACCCCTACGGGCAAACACAATGTAGGACGATCCCTCACTAGATAGAGTGACGATCTCAACTGCATTGCAGGAAGTCAGTAAATGCAGGTGGCTCAAGATCTTTCCTTATGGTAATTTATGGGGTAGGCCTAAGTTCAGCAGGGGGTACATTATAATATGATGATGATAGACATAAATAGCATATAAATCACGGAAATATTGGCACGATTCATGTGTAGGCATTCTTAAAAAGATGTTATGTCAGCACACGTTAATTACACTACCATGTTCCACATTTCTAACCAAAACCATTCGAAACAAAGAGCAAGTGTTTCTGCGAGCACCAGAAATACGAGTGTGACATAAATACTAATGCAGACGATGATTTGTCCAAAATCTCTTTAGGGTATTTACTACCAAATTCTCAATATTCAATCACGGTTGTACTCTACCTGTCCAGTACTATCTGTAATCTAGATAGCCTTTACAATAATATTACAGTGAACAATAGTAACACCCCAAAGCCCGCCCCATCTAGTTGCTATAATTGGTGATTCACAGTACAATGCCAGTTCATTGTATTAATTTATTTACCTATATTAAGTGTCAGGAACAGTCACTGCACGTACCGATTATCAAGGGCTATGAATGTATAGAGAGAACTACATTAATACTGCTGTTAGATGTGTGATGGTGGCGCTCTCTAGAGTCAAACTAGGCAACTATCGTTTTACATAAAAGCCTCTGATGTTGCTTACTGGATTTACGTGTCCTCCGAAGCATAAAGCAATTGATAATATTTTTTAAATAGTTCAAACAAACTTGAAAATTCAGAGATGGGAGAGAAGTAATAGAAAATTTAAATTTGACGATAAAATATATCTGTTTGTTTTTCTCTATATAATTAGTCTAATTCCAAATTTGGTTTTATAATACAAAAATGATAAACTATCATATAGCTCACCCAACAGTTAATGATTATCGCAGTCTAAAGAGATATCTCGCTTTTTAAACTGAAATACAGGATAGAGGCTAAACATTCTTATCAAGGCAGTGTTTTACCGGTGCCCCTGAGTTTTTTCAAAGTATCATACATCGAAAAAATATGAAGTTCCTTTCGGAAAATGTTCAGTTTCACTAGTAAAATATGGATTATCCCTTAAAAAGATACTAATGATTTCGATTTCGATTCACAGCACTATTATTTATTATATTATAAACTCTACAAATATAGATACTTGCAGCGATATAATTTAACTAGGGCACGCCATCACTAATTCACCGTTTGTCTGTAACTACATTTGCGAGACAATTATCTCTGCCACACTCAATGCTGTATAGGGGAAAGGCATTGTTAGTAATAACGATTTGGTCACCCATTACTTGCAATATACTATGTCAGGTCGACTTCCACGTGGTCATCTTTGGCAATCACTGTAGTTAATTCCTGGTAAATTCATTAAGATGGATCAACTAATTTTATTTCATCGGACCTATCATAAAAACCTATCGTAAAACTGACAGGTCTACCTCCACGCGGTCACCTCTGGGAACCAACAAGGCAGCGCTGTCTGTGACATTACTAACTCTACAAATGTAGGTACTCGTAGCGATATAATTCGACGAGGGCACGGGGCGCGGCGTCACCAATTCGCCGCCCGCCTCTAACTACATTTGCGAGACAATCCATACAAACGAAATTGTGTATATTGCCTCGTTACACTTAACGATGATTTCTTTTTGTATGTAACATTGAATTGTGTTATTTCATTTTCAACCGACTTTAAAAAAAGGAGGTTCTCAATTCGATTGTATTCTTTTTTTATGTTTGTCACCTCATAACTGCGTCAGTTTGGGGGGAAAGGGTTTGTTAGTAATAGGGTCAAACTGATCCATTACTAGCAATACACCCTATCAGGTTGACTGTTCACTGCTAAACATAGGTCTTTTTTTTATTTTATACAACTTAGAATGGCAAACAAGCTGACGGCCCACCTGTTGGAAAATGGTAACCGTCGCCTATAGACATAAGCAGTACCATGGGCATAACAGAGTATACTGTTTCGCCCATGATCCCCCCATGCGTTGCCATTCCTGAGGACTCAGGTGTTATTCTTCTGTACCCAGTAAATTCACGCCATATCCCACCCTTCAAACCGAAACACAGCCATGCACACAACTGCTTCACGGTTGAAACACGAATGGGACAGAGGTACTTTTGTACAAAGTCTCCCTCTGGTATAGTCTGCCATAAAGATGCCATATGCCATAATGCCTCTCGCATAGTCTGCCATAAAGAACTGTCCTGAGCCTCCTGCATCCATTAACTCCCTGCAATGTATTTGAGGTCGTCACTCCATCTAATGGGGTCGTCCTACACTGTGTTTAGCCGTACGGTGTCGCCATTTCCTTGCCAGATCCTTCCCCATCGGTTGTCATTTCTTTGAGCTATATGACCAGCCCATTGCCACTTCAACTTGCTTCTCCTTCAGGCTATGTCGATTATTTTGGTTCTTTTGCGGATATCATCGTTTCAGATTTTGTCAAAAAGAAACTCCGAGCATGGACTTCTCCATAATAATGTTATTTTGAATATTATATAATAATATAATAAAATAATTTTACGGTACACAGAAAAAGTGTGAAGGAATGAAATAATCAATAGTAATTGACTAAAAATAGTTATAAAAATAACAAATGTCATTTTTCAAAGGAAATTTTTCTCGCGTACGCTCAGGCTATGAATAAGTTTCCTGCCAAGGTATTCCTAAAAACTATAGTAGAGGATTCTTTAAAAAGAGTGTATTAACAAGGTTTTTTCAATGTCAGCTGTCCCTTTCTGACCCAAGATTTTTTTTCTTTCAGATTAAATATATTTTCGTGTTTTGGAGCCAAGCCATCTTGCCGGCACGCACGAGACTACTGCACCACCTAACCGTTAAAACGATTTCTTATTGGCCGGTTTAGAATCTCACTATCATGTTATTTCAGCTTCGTGCGTAAAAATGAATTGCGCGCGGTTTTAGAATTTTTTAAAGTTACAACTCACGCACGTATCGTTCAGGTCTGAAAGGGCTATGGTTTAGTGACACCCCTGGTGTCTCCTAGTGTACAAGCGTCCATAGCCTATAGTGATCGGTAGTGTCCTTGTTTGTCACTTTCGTGATATAAAAAAAAATCAAAAACAATTTCTGTAAAAGTTTATATTTATACAGGGTACCCCATAATCGCTGGGACCGGAATCAGTGGCAATATGGGGACAATATAAAATCAATATGATCCCCAATTGGTCCCGAGGGTTCGAACGGGCGCATATGGGAACAAGTATTATGACAAGGCATGGATTAATCTGTTTTATTGATGTAGTGATTTTACTGTAAGTTGAAAACAAAGCGAGTTTTATAATAAATGACTTAAGAATTTGTGATATTTTAAAAGATTTTGATTTTTTTTATACCACGTAGGTAGCAAATAAGCATACGACCCACCTGATGGTAAGCAGTTACTATAGCGAAATCGATTCCAATATTTATGTAGGTCTCGAAAAAAGTTGAAAACAAAGCGAGTTTTATGATAAATGACGTAAGAATTTGTGATATTTTAAAAGATTTTGATTTTTTCTATATCACGTAGGTAGCAAATAAGCATACGACCCATCTGATGGTAAGCAGTTACTGTAGCCAAATCGTGCCAAATGTGTTTGCATAGTTGTGTTTCGGTTTGAAGGATGGGATATGGCGTGAATTTACTGGGTAGAGAG